GATAGGGTTAGGGTTAGGGTTCCGAAACGTCAGCCTTCCTGCTCCTCTGATGCTGCTTGGCCTGCTGTGTTCATCCAGCTTTACACCTTGTTATCTTTTATAATCCAGTCCTTTTGCAATAAATGCCAGGATTCCATTTGCCTTTCTTAGTATATGCTGCACCTCCATGCCCACTTCCTGTGATTCAAGCACAAAGGACACCCAGATCCCTCTGCACTGATGCTCGTTGAATTTGCTTCCCATTGAACTAATAATTTGCTTTTTTATTTTTGCACCCATAATAGATAATACTGCTCTCATCCGTATAAACTCCATCTGCCAGAATCTGGCCCATGATCCTAGCCTTACGTTATCCATCTATAAACTCATCATCATAGAATCCCTACAGTGTGAAAGCAGGCCATTCAGCCCATCGGGTCCACACCGTCCGCCTGAAGAGCACCCCACTCAGACCCACACCACCTACCCTATTCTCATCTCCTCATCACAGCCTGCTTTCCCACCTATTTTTGCATCATCTGCGAACTGTCCCTGCTTGTAGATTGCTTATATAGATTGTAAGTAATTGAGGTCCAGGAACTGACCCTTGCGGCACCCCACTAGTTACAGTTTGTCATCCAAAGAAGGACCCATTTATCCCAACACTCTGTTTTCTGTCAGTCAGCCAATCCTCTATCCAAGCCAGTACTCTAATCTTAATCGCCGGCATTTAACCTTCTGGAACAGTCTTTTATGCAACACCTTATCAAATGCCTTCTGGAAGTCTAGATATATGACATCCGCCAGATCCGCGTTAACCACTTTGCTGATTACTGCCTCAAAGATCTCCAGCAAGTTTGTCAAACATGACTTGCCCTTCTTGAAACTGTACAGACACTGGTGAATTGGGCTTTGTTTTTCCAAGTGACTCCAGCAAATTCCCAACTACAGAGATAAAACTAACTGGTCTGTAGTTTCCCACTTTTTGCCTATCTCCTTTTTGGATTTAGGGTGTCACATTAGCATGTTTCCAATCCACTGGTACCTTTCCATAATCCAGGGGATTTTTGATTAGATTTGATTTTATTATTGTCACATGGACCTAGGTACAGTGAAAAGTTTTGTTTTGCGTGCAGTACAGGCAGATGATACCACACAAAGTGCATAAGGGCAGTAGAACAGTGTGAAGAATACAATGTTACAGCTGCAGAGAAGGTGCACAAACAGTGAGATCAACATTAAATTTAAAATTTGAGAGGTCCATTCGGAAGTCTAATAACAACAACAGCTGTTCTTGAATATTTTTGTACATGTATACGAACTTTTATATCTTCTGCCCGATGGAAGAGGGTGGAAGAGAGTATAACTAGGGTGAGAAGGGGTCTTTGATTATGTTCGTTGGTTTTCTGAGGCAGTGGGAAGTATAGATGATATCAATGGATAGAAGGCTGGTTTGCATGATGCACGGGGCTGTGTTCACGACTCTGTAGTTTCTTGCGGTCTTTGGAAGAGCAAGTGCTATACCACGCTGTGATGCATCCAGATAGAATACTTTCTATGGGGCATCTATAAAAATTGGTAAGAGTCCTTGTGGACATGCCTAAATTCCTTAGCCTTCTGAGGAAGTAGAGACCTTGTTGTGCTTTTTTGACTAATGCATCCACTATCTCTGCTGCCATTTCCTTCAGTACCCTAGTGTATAGGGCATCAGGCCCCAGGAACGTATCTGTCTTTAATCCCGTCAGTTTACTTGATACCTTCTCTCTAGTCATAGTAATTTCACCAAGTTCCTCTGTATTAACTACAAATATTGAGAAAATATAAATATCTTCCACTGTGAAAACAGAGATAAAATAATGGTTTAGTGCCTCTGTCATTTCTGAGTTTCCCATTATTACCTCGCCATTTTCATTTTCTAAAGGGCTGACAATTACTTTTGTTATTCACTTCCTTTTTGTATACATATAGAAGCTTTTGGTATCAGTGCTTATGTTTTCTGTTAGTTTCCTTCTGTAGTTTGTCTTAGCTCTTTTGATTTTGTTTTATTAACCTTTTGCTGACGTTTAAAGTTCTCCCAATCCTCCAGAGTGCCATGAACTTTTGCAATATGATATGCACTAGTTTTTGCCTTAATGTGTATATTTCAATCACTATGACAACATCTGTGTGTGCGCCAAAGTCTGCGTATATGTGTGTGTGCATTTGTCAGTTTCTAGTCATGTGTGTCAGTGTCTGTGTCTGTTGGTGTCTAGAAACAAAAACAAAGTTGCTGGAAAAGCTCAGCAGATCTGGCAGCATCTGTGAAGGAGAAAACAGAGTTAACGTTTCAGGTCCGGTGACCCTTCCTCAGAACCTATGTGTCTATGTGTGCTAGTGTCTATGTGCTATGGTGTCTATGTGTACTTGTATGTTTCGTTGTATGTACATGTGTGCACCAGTGTCTGTGCCAGAATCAGTGATAATATCATGATGCATGTTCAAACACCATGCCTCCACAAATTTTCCTTCATATGTGGTGATGTCATCCTGGGAGTGCTGCAGCACCCAATGTACAGTACGAAGGTTTCAAACTTTGGAGATTTCAGCTACTGACTGACTTATCCTTAAACCTCTCTGCCTTTCTTCCCTCCCTTTAGATACTCTGTAAGTCTAATGCCTTTCACCAAGCTTTTGGTCACCTAACATTAATATGTCCTTATGTGACTCAGTGTCAAATGTTGTATGATCATACCTTCATGAACAACCATCATACACTTTACTACCTTGACAGTGCTACATAAATGCAATTTAATATTGTTGATAGAGAAGGCAGAGGAAAGTAACGAACACTACAGAATGAGGTTCATAAAAGCATTTAATCCAATGAAGTCATAGGAGGGAGGAGGACTGCAATGATAGTGCACTAACTGAGCTGCAGAGATTAGGGTACCTATTATCTACAGGAAGTCAGATGTTCGGTAAGCTTAGAGATAGGTCCTACATGGGGAGCAGCACTAGAGGGAGAACACAAATCCTGTCATGGCAACATCCTGCTGCATTTATGTGGAGCCAGAACAGGAGTGTTTTGCTACTGTTCCACATAAATAAAATGCTAAACACCATAAGAAAGATGCAAGGATGTAGAATTTATATCTCACTCAGAGATAGTAAGAACTGCAGATGCTGGAGTCAGACATCATACAGTGTGGAGCTGGAGGAACACAGCAGGCCGGGCAGCATCAGAGGAGCAGGAAAGTTGATGTTTTGGGTCGGGACCTTTCTGAAACGTCAACTTTCCTGCTCCCCTGATGCTGCCTGCCCTGATGTGTTTCTCCAGCTCCACCCTGTGTTATCTCTATAGAATTTCTATGCCTCTGACACAAGTTGATTGACTACTATTTCATGTTGGATCAAATAATGGGTATGAAGTTGGTGAAATATAACAAACTATATTCCATTGGCAGGACATTTTACCTCCATATTGACTGGAATGAGGTTGGCCAGGTGGATCTCATTGAGTACGAGTTCCTTCATTGGGGCTGTAAACCTGGGCCAATCAGGGCGCCCTGGCTCACAGATATAACAGGAGTCTCAGAAAGTCTCCTCACCCCAAGGACTGGCTCTGAGCTAGCTGGTCAGAGCCCATATACAATGCACGTGCAAATAAAAGGTGATTTGGTGACTGGATACCAGCCTCTATGCAGTTATTTCAACCTCACACCCAAACGTCAAGGCTAACACTGGTTTTATGTAAGTCAATTGGGATGCCATTCATATAGGTTAGGATTAAGATAAATCATTTGGGACAAAAGAGAAGGAGCTCAATTATGCATTGACCTACGCTATGACTGTTATGGCAAATTCTGATAGTTATATTAAGAACACAGTGGAAAGGTTTTCCACATCTTAACTTGTTAGACAGAAGAAAACAGCTTGTTCAAAGAATAAATAACTCTCCTTATGGTTCAATGCATTTCTCCAGGGAGTAGTTGAACATTAGATGCTGATATTGTCATGACCATACCATGGTAACGTTCTCCAATTCTTTATGGTTCCAGGCAGGATACAGAGGAACAGGGATAGGCTATTAATCCCCTCAAACCTGTTCCACCATTCAATGAAATCATGGCTGATCTGTGGCCTAATTTAAACAAATTGCCTTTAGTCTATATCATTTAAAACTTTTGCTTAAACAAAAAACTCTCAGATTTAAAATTAACAACTGATCCTGCATATATTGTCATTTGTGGACGCAAGATCCAAACTTCTCCCATCCTTTATGTGTAGATGTGCTTCCTGTCAACTTTCCTGAATGGTCTGGCTCTAATTCTCGAACAAAGTCCCTGGTTCTAGAATCCCCAATTAGTGGAAACAGATTATCTTTATCTATCCTGTCTTTTCCTGTAAATATCTTGAAGACTTTGATCAGACCACTCCTTAACCTTCGAAATCTAGCAGAAAAAGGCCCAATTTGGATATTCTCTCCTTGTACCCCCTGAAGCCCAGGTATCATCCTTGTAAACATACGTTGTACTCCCTCCAAGGCCAATATATCCTTCTTATGGAGAGATGCCCAGGTCTGTTCACAGTACTCCAAGTGGGGTCTAATCAGCATTTTGTATAACTGCAACAAAACTTCTGCATCCTTGAACTCCAGTCCTCTCGATATAAGACACCCCACACCATTAAGCTCCCAGAGGAGGAGTGTTGAGTTGGCTCCCCTTGCTTATTTGCCAATCTACTTGGTTCTTTATAATATTTTTAATTTGTAAAGTATCCCCTTCCTTGTGGATTTCTTTCTTCCACATCCAAATGAACTTGTGTTTTAAAAGGAGTCAATTTCAGTAGGTGGTCTTAAATTAGCAAAAAGGGTGAGTTTATTAATTATTACACATGAAGAGAAAGTAACGCAACACCTAAACACACATTAGTGTGCCCAAAAAATAAAGGTAAAAAAATGACACAACTCAATATGAATTGTTTATGAAGAGCAGATATTTGAAAACTGCAGCTGTTTCTGTAGATTACCAATCAGGTTGATGTCGGTTGAAGGATTTGTTTCTTGAGATTCATGATTTTGTAGGATTTTGTCCTGATACCTTTTCAAATTTTTTTCAGTAAGAAGGCTACCCTTGCAACACAAGGGTTTCTAAGGGATGGTTCTTCAACAGTAACCTTAACAACACACTAATGTTAATCCGGGATGGTATGCATGAAAGTGTTCAGTTACACTGGTACACTTCTGTAGATTTGAAACTGGCTTTTGAATCCCTCTCCTGGAGGGTATTCCTGGAGGGCAAAACACACATGCTTGTGAGAGGTGGCTTTCTGCTGAGAAGGGAGAGATAGTCAGTTCCCTTGTTGTCTTTTTTGTGTTAAATCTCTCTCTCTTTGAAAATCCCTGGCACTTTACACTAGTGATAGTCCATTGGTTTCAGTCAAGCAGGCAGGCTGGACTTTGCTAGGCAGTCTCTGAATTTAAATCCACAGTTTTTCTGTAACAGTTGTCCTTTTGAAAACAACACATTTAAAGAATTAAAAGTAAAATTGACTATGAATAATTCTGGATGATCTGTTATCATAAAAGTTTTATCCGTATTGTGCTCTGTTAGTTAATCTTGTTAATTTTGGCAATAGGTATGTTACTTATTGTGCGGAGTGACTCTGTGTTAAGTGCATATATATCAATAATGCTTCTCATCTTTCAGTGCTTCGTGATCCTTGCACAACGAAAACATGTCTTATGAACTGTAGAATGTTTGATAGCCAGCTGGTAAAGAAAGACAGAAGATTTATTCACAGATAGCAGGAACATATGTTCTAACTCCACTTGACTCCTGGGTCAGCATTTCTTTATACTTAAAGTAGTCCAAATCAAACTTTGTAAAAATAAATTTAAAAAAGAACAGCCCCTTTAATGGGCACTGTAACATAATTCAAGTCTTCAAAGGAAACTTAATATTAGTGTCTCTTTACTTGATCAAGTAACCATCCAATGAATGCCATTCATCTGTATATACTTAACCTCAATTGATACAATTAACTTGACTGTCAGGCAAAGAAAGACAAGCTCGTATTAACATAACACTTTTCAATTCACTTCAGAGCCAATGAACTACTTTTGAAGTGTAGTCATTGTTGTCATGTAGGAAACATGGCAATCAATCTCATCGGAAACCTAAGAACTGGAGTCAGCTATTCCGCCATATGAGACTGCCCTACCATTTTATATCATGGCTGATCATGGCTCAATGCTATTTTTCAACACTATTTCCAGATATCTTAAAAATACAAGTCTTTAGAAACTTACCAATTTCTGTCTTAAAGCTGCTTAATAATTGAACATCCCCACAGCACTCTGGCATAGTCCTCTAGAATTCCAAAGGTTCACTACCCCCTGAGTAAAGCAACTCTTCCTCATCTCAGTCTTAAATGGTCTGCTTCTCAACATGAGGTTATGTTCTGTTGGTGTTCACGCATACACAGCAGACCCAGACAAGCAGCTACACAATATTGACCAGATAACCTGTTTTGGTGATGTCAATTGGCCAAGTCACTAGGGGTAACTCTACTATCTTTCTTCAAAATGGTACCATGGGACCTTTTAGAACACGTGAGCGAGGCAGGTGGATTTAATATTTTGGTAAATCAATGCCGGCACCATCCAACCATGCAGCACTCCCTCAATGCTCCACTGAACTTTTGTGCTCATTTGTTGAACTGGGGCGTAAATCCAGAACTTTGTGATTCAGATGTTAAGGTGTTGTCACTGCAGTTTGCAATGGATAGGATCATGCTCAATTTTGAATCTCCTGTGATTTGCTGACATGCAGTGTCTCTGTCAAAGGTTCTCCCTGGGTCATGACATTCTTTTCTGTTGACTTGCTCGCTGAGCTGGCTTGTTCCCATTCAGACATTTCACCATCATTGCTAGGTGACATCATCAGTGGAGCCTCCGATGAAGCGATGTTATTCTACTCTGCTTGGAATTTATACTGTCTGGTCCATATGGTGTGTACTGTCATTTCCGGTTTTGATCTGTTTGGGTTTGTATATGGTATATTTATGTATGGTATATATATGTGTGGTATCTATAGGCTTCACTGATGATGTTACCTAGCATGGTGACGAAACGTTTGGACGAGAACAAGCCAGCTCGGCGAGCAAGTCAACAACATCACCCACAACCCGAGCTACAGATCTTTGCCAAAACTTTAAATTCTTCTCAGGTGGCAAAACCAGACAGATAATTACAGACTGGAAGCTATTATTGCAGTTCATCTGGTTTTCTTTTCCTTGTTAACTTATATGCTCAATAAAGACCATCACTAGGGCAAGTTACTGGATGGTGTGATAGTTGGAGCTGACCTCCAATATATTAGCAGTTCAACATGGAGAGAGAGAAGGGGACCCGCAAAAATTTATACTCCAAAAAACAAGTGTTTTTAAGACATGAATAAAATGTTTTAGAAGAAAGTGACATCAAGTAGGAACTTTTTCATTTGCTTTACATTGATGAATTTAAAATTCAAACTGATCATAATCCTGTGATTTAGCTGAAATGCACATTTCAAGCCCAAAGTTTGAGTTTTTATGTGTTCCTTTTACTAATGATAGGTTAGCTGGTTGCTGTGGCTAGATGATGCTTTATCAACAGGATACACTACAGCAGCTTCTCAGGGTTATTTTGACAGGGTTCTGGTCCCGACAATTGCTACTGCAAAGATAAGAGCTGCAGTGTCATGGGACCATCATCGGTATCGAGTTCCCTACCAACTCGCACACCATCCTGTCATAGATATATTGCCGCTGCCTCAAAATCCTGGTGACCCTGCTCAGCACCTCAAACCTTCTTAAAGAATCAAAGCATAGAAATTAGGAGCAGCCCATTTGGCCTTTCGATCATGGTTGATCGTCCTACCCAGTACTTTTGTTCCCACTCTCATACCCTTTGATCTTTTACCCCTAAAAACTATATTTGTCTCCTTCTTGAAAACATTCAACATTTTGGCCTCAAATGCTTTCTGTGGCGGTGGATTCCATGGGCTCACCAATCTTTAGGTGAAGAAAGGTTTCCTAATCTCAAGAATAAATGACCTACCCCATATCCTAAAACTGTGAGCCCTGGTACTGGACTTCCAAGTTAACAGGATCTGGAGTGATTGGAATAAGGTAAGCCAGGTGGACCTCATAGAACATGAGTTCCTTGATTGGGACTGATAACCTGGTCCAGTCAGGGAGTCCTCATTGACAGATTTAAGCAGGCATCTCAGAGAGTCTCCCTAAGTTTTGGCTCTGAGCTAGCTGCTCAGAATCCATGTACTGTGTGGTACAATGCAGTTGTAAATAAAGGGTGATGGGATACTGGCCTTCATGGAATTATTTCAGGAACACCCTTCCCATGTTTACCATATCTGATTCTGTTAGAATTTTATCAGTTTCTAAGGTAATCCTTCCCTTGTTTTTTCTAAACTCCAGTGAGTATTGTCCTAGATAGAGCAATAAACAATGAGCAACAAATTCAATTTTGTCAG